GCAATGAAGTGAAAAGTGATGGATTATAATATTGAGAAAGCCAAATTCAAGATTCAACAAAATTATTTTTACTAGGCGTTATTCAAAAATATAACACCATATCAAACTTAACCGTTTCAGATAATAGTATACAATGACTGGATTTATTTTATCAGATGAGACTAAACAACTAGCCCCATAGTAGAAATTTAATATACGTATCAGGATATAGACTACTCGAACAGATAAGTCGATATCTTGTTAATGCTATTTCCTCACTTTGACTTCAAAACGTGATGACCAATTAACTGTGTATTTCTAAGCGGGCTAACTATCAGTATCGCCTTAGATTTGCACGAGAATATTCAAAAGCTAAAATAACAGTTGTGTTGGGAAAGCGTGTATTGTTAAAAATTAAATTCAAAAGCACATGATGAGCAAGAACATTAGAAGGTGAACGAGTAAAAAGTGGGGAAATAACCTCAACAAACCCCAGTAACTAAAAGTTTATTATGTTTTCAGATTGCCACAAGTAGTGTGGTGCAGAAGGTAGTCAATCAGTCAGAAACAACGTAGAACTTCGTACGTACATACATCAATTCAAGTTGCCATACCACATTAGCACAGAGATACAATTATCAATTCAAATCCCATAGTGGTAGAGGTAGTAAAAGTATAGGCAGTATTCAGAAAGATTTGGGTTTGAAGATGTTAATAAAGGAGTATAATTCAGTGAAATAAATTTGGAAAGAGGAAAAAATGGACATGAAGAATTCAGAAGATAAAAATTTGGGAGAACACAAAGAGTGGATGCAACTGCGCAATCGCAAACGATTTTGAGCCATGTCATTCAGGGTTTCTAACTATCGGTTGCTATCACCTCGCGGATCCCAACCAGGTAGTCTACACCTACCAACATGCCTCAGTCCACTTGTTAGTGATTTTATGGATTTATGCCATTTTTTGGTCAGGCCACTCTAGCTTTCTTCCAACCTACTCTTACATCATAAAGCATAGCTAGTCGAGGCAGTCGGTGATTGGGCATACGTAAAACGTGTCCATATGGTGATGACGCAACCGAGCTATACTGATTGAAATATATGTTCCTGTAGGTTCTACCATGCCAGGCAGGTCGATTGGAGAACGGCAAGACTAAAAGCAGCAACTCGAGGTCTGAGGGCGAAGTCGTACTGCTGACTGTAGAGGGGTGTGACAGCAATATGGTGTTTCCCTCGGACAACTAGCATCTGTAGCGTTGCTGCCTTCTTACAAGGAAGGAAAGGGTTAGAAAAGGTTGACACAAAAAATGTCACACCTCACCTTACCTCACGGATTTCCATCTCCGGCGGTAAGGCCCTTTGAAGAACGGAGCTAACACATCAAAAACCTTCCACGAAAATACCTTGCGCGACCGGCCTCAAGCAGTTGTCCCTTGGGCTCTGCGGTCACACTCCCAGGTCGTTAAGACCAACACTAATCCAACTTCTTTTTCAGGTTCCTCAAGAAATACCCTTCCACGGTGTGGGCAGCCGGGAAGTGACATCAGCCTCATACCCGTAACATCACACGAGACCAAGTTGGTCACATTAAAATCCTTCCTACATCTCCTAATAACTCTCTTATCTCCACGACTAACCCTTCTTACATTCCTTTATCACCTCACGCCACTAATGCAAACGATTCGAGTACGCGGAACGTTATTCCCGATCTCCTGAAACCACGCTCTAAACTACATGTACTAGCTTTTAACGTCCGAACACTGTGCCAAATAGGACAACAGGTTTCCTCATCTGGGACTTCAGAATCTCGCGCTGTTGACGTATACTGCACCTCCGAAACGTGTATACTGGACCCGAGTAGCGTCATTCACTTGACCCCACCATATCAAAATAGAGAACCATTTCGATTCACGCTTCGTGTATCTGAAAGCCCTGATGCTGCTTCCCGTGGCCTCGTTGGTATAGGTATAGCATTGAGTCTTAGGGCAGAACTAGCTATCTTAGACTAGATACCAGTAGACAGTCGTTTGTGCGCTGTCCGACTAAACGGAACAGTAAGGACTCAGAAAGATAGGGACACTCGTCGTTGCCTCTTCGTCGTCTGTGCCTATTCTCCCACTGACTGCAGCTCAGATGAGGAAAAAGGATGAGCTTTACAGAAAGCTTTCTGACCTCCTCAGAAGAGTTAGACGCTCTGACGTAGTAATAGTAACTTCAATGCTCAAGTAGGTAAACTAAGTGAAAACGAAAGACACCTGAGTATATCTTATGGTGTCGTGTCTCAAAGAACAGATAATGGCGACCGTCTGTTGCAGCTATGCTCAGATAACTGCCTGTTTCTAGCAAATACTAACATTAGGCACAAGGATTAACATCTTTTGACATGGCGACCCCCGAATTCATCCCAACGTTGGACCCAAATAGATCACATCGCTATCAGCCACCGATGTAGGGGCTCGGTAGAAGACTGTCGCTTATTCTGGAGTACATGCTTAGAGGAAGTGTAGAAAGAATTTGAATGAGACCGACTCGATCTCTTGTGCTGTTACGTGTTTGAGGGCTCATGTCACTTTCCGGTCACCCACACCATGCAAGAGTATCATCAGTAGTAAACTATATAATCATTTCGTACTCTATTTCACTAACTGAACGATACTAAGCAATTCATCAGTTAAGTCATGACGACAAAACTACGAAATACTAACAGAGCTCTGTTGATATAACATAAAGCATTAAATACTCTAAACAGTAATAAATTAGATAATATAGTTCTGCAGTGACGTACGTTTTTATGATCCACCCTAGAAGAATCTAAAAAAACGAGAAGTAGAACCGATCAGAAAAGTTACAGTAAACTTCGGCATTTATTATTTACTTAACCATTCGAAGTAAAAGATAGCGGACGGTGATATAACAATTCAAAAGCACTCAGGCAGTTTATGCTGTTGAACTGATTGCCAGAGCAAACCAATTTCAGAACGCTGAAATGTCTTACACGTTTGAAACGTACTTCAAGCGACGTCGGATATAAGTCGAGACATTGAGAACACGACGCTTATTTACTGTTTTTGTTTAGTGAGACCAATTTTGGCAGTACGGGGCATTTTTTTAAGATAACAACTAGCAGCTCATATTTTACACTTACGATGGCACCTAGTTCAGAATTAAAAAAGCGTATCAATTGGGGCTCCATTGTGTAGAAATATCAAATTCAGAATGTTTGTAAGAAAATAATAAAGAATCTGGTATAAATGTTTCAATCGCTTTTGTCATATCGTATCAAAACGACAAGGCGACCATCAGGAGAGGAAATCATATGAAAAGGATGACGACCAAAGTGTTACAGAGATAACTGTAAGCAAATCGAAAAAAATGGAGTAAAATAATCACGACTGAACATAAGGTAAGAAAAGGGTCCAACTGTACAATTGCAACTGACTACAATACATGTAGTTAGGACCCCACCCATACATTCTTTTCTTTTATCAAAGTGTGCACAACAGATTTAATAATAATCAACTGCAGAAAGATACAGAAAAAAAACTGTGAATCATGATACGTCAAAATGGTAAAAAAGGCTTGTCTATGTTTGACAGCGGCAAAATTACAGGAAACTAGCATCTATTGGCAAAATAAGTGACTACAGAACATTTTTAAGACTGAAAATAGATAGCTTAGCATTTATTTACTGAGTGCAATCATAACTAATATGTGATGCTTTGAAAGATTGATATGGTAAAAGATATTAGAATGGACCTTTATCAACTGCTTTTTAATTTGTGTAACATTTTTACATCATTTTTCAGTCGCCGCATTTTTATTAATCACAAAGAAACTGGGTACTGACTAGGAAATAAAGCGTACAGTTTAGTTCTGCCAAAACCATTCCACAAATTCATCAAAAACTCAGACAACTCAAATTTTAAACGCGATTCATTTGCCAAATAGAGATCTATATATTGGGCTTAGAGGTTCATTATTTTCAGTGCAGACACTCAAGAAATACGGGACAATGCTACAGTGGCGCTCAGTTATCGGATATCCATATAACATGGAAGCTCGTAAGGTAAAACTAAGATATGCAACACAATTATTACTTACAACTGTTCAAACCGTGCCATATGTAGCACAAATTCTGACCAAATGCTCTCACTTAGACAAGGAAACATTGATGTAAGATTGTTGAATGCTCTAGCGAAAGTGCTAGTTCACTAATCAACAACATGGTGTTCTATAATTTCCTCATAGCTGACTAAAAACTTACTACAACAGTAGGAATGAAGACTAAAAATAGCAGTGATTTTGTTGTAAACTAGAAGCACGCTTTTTGACGAGATACGTACACGTATGATACAATGTTTAGGGAAGTTTGCAACAAATGGAAGTTTCATGAAGATTTCAATAACTGAGCATCAATAAATGTACGGAAGTAATGGACTCCGACTCAATTCCTTGAAGAGAACTGAGTCATGCGATTTTAAATAATTAGTTTATAAAACTTCATATTCTAAGCGAACAACTGAATGACATCCGGTAAAGCATTTTCTGATACCAATCTGCTGTGTATTAGGTGAACAATAGGCATAATAGCAATGATAATGTTTAGTAACATTTATAGGAAAATCAACAATTTACGTTTAGAATAAGTCACCTGTGAAACGATAAGGATGTTCTGTAGAGTTATTGCACTAAAATTAAGTGAATTTACTTTTGACTTTGACAAAGTTGAATCTTTTAAGTGGTGGGGTTTAACTGCGAAGCTTTAACAGTCTTTCTAGATAACATTATCAGTAAAAACTTCAGATGGAAGTAATCGACTCGAATCTATCCACATATCTAGTGAGGAAATGGTAGGGTAACTTCAGATGGTCTGTTTAGTAGGACCAGCTAAATTGAACTGCGTTAAGAGAAGCAGTGAAAAACGTGTTTGAGCTGGGCTAACCTAATACATCAAGACATCAACAATCACACTTTAAAACAATATCTTACGTCCAACCGAAAATTATTGAAAACAGGAAATTTATCTGAAAATAATTATCATTTGCAATGTACATGTGGTTTCGTCGGTGAAATAAGCTATTTTAATCTAAAAAGACAACAGTTTAAGTAACAAGAGTAAAAAGCAGGAGCTGTGGGACGTTTATGTGCTGGAAAACAATGAATCTCTCATAACCAAACAAATCGGTCAAGAATGAAAATATGGGAAACGGTGAAAAAGCTGAGATAACGAAGTCTGAAAAGTATAACACAAAGCAGCTACATAAAGATAATTACAACTTTTTACATCCTATGACGATACCAAGACGTTTGTAAAATCTTAGGAAAATAATGAAGTTACAAAATACGACCAGACCGAGGCAAAACAGAGACAAGGGAATTGAAGGTGCATGCGACATTTGTCTTAATTTGGCGTTACGCTCCTGGAGATCAATCCTAAGTGCATAATATTGTGTAATAGAACCGAAGGCACTTAATATGTGAAATATTTGATGGCTATGACCAAAAACATCGAACCTTCCTGGAAAAAGCCTTTCAGGAAAGTGTGACACAAACAAAAATCCTGCGGAAAACATTGACATGAAATGCAAATTCCAATAATAAAGTGAACTGCATTCAGAAGACTCATATTCACTTGCCATGTACTTACAGGTATATGAACGCCACAGAATCGGAGTTCCGACGTAAAACAAAATAATCCCAAATGCTCCCATTCTAATGATGTTACGAAAAATTGAAGGTTTCCAAAATCTGGTCCGACATGATAAGTATGTACCACAGATACAAAACAATGCTGAGATAAACAAGAATATATCACTAAGATTGAGAATAAAGAAAGGTGAAGGACGCAGAAACTCGACTGGCAGGGCAAACGCATAGTAGCAAACAGTGGAGCCATAAGAATACAGTGATATCCCAATATAGTCAAGAAAGAAACATATGTGTCGAGCTCTAGGTGACAAACAACTAAATGTGTGAGCGCAAGAACTTGTGAACAGGAACGTAACGGCGGTAATTAGATATATAAGAAGAAAACGCTCGCCAACGTGGAAAAAATTCAGGACTAGTTCAACAACAAAATAAATGGTTGGTATGATTTGCGTCCATATATTCAAGGTTTCGTTGTGCATTTGGAAAACAGACCAGACACCTGATGAAAGTGACGCGGACGGCTTGCGATAACCTGATAAAATTCCAACTTCATGAAATTCTGGTGGAATTTGTGACATTGAAAGAATTTCCAGTTTGTTGTGGACTGGTTTTTTAAATGACCGAGAACTCCCAGGACCTTGGTACCGAGCATTTTTGTCGTCACCTGTAAATAGATGATGACGCATAGGTCTCATGAGTTTTCAAGAAGTCTGTTTTGTTATTCAGGACTTATGTGCACATCGCAAACCTGGATGAACAAAAATGAAATCATTTCCATCGCCAACCGTTTTATATAAGCCCCCAAGGTCACGATATAGAAGTCCTCGAAAATCGCTTTATTGGCTCAGTATAAAACCAATGTGTTGGTTTTGATAGAATGTCATGAAGCTTGTTAAAATAACCAAATCCATGCAACTAGATTATATTGCCGATCTAATTAGGAACCAAACAATAAGTGACGTAAATATTTAAATAAGGTTAGAACCTCTGCATTACTAACATGGTGTTGCCAGTGGACGTCATCAATCACGAAGGCGCCAAAGATGGCCCAGATTGGCATAAGCCGCTCTGGCTTTCACTATACATGCATTAATCTCATCACTCAAACCCCCACCAACACTTATGCAGCAACCCAGATACACGAACATCTCGACTACTTCTATCTGCTCACTATCCAGGGTGAGTACAGGATTACGATCCTGCCAGTCTTCTAGAAGTACTTTGCACTTCGAAGGTACAAAGCACATACCCATACTTGCGGACACTGATTGCCAACCGATTAAGTGTGGATTGCATGCCTTGGGCATTATCACACTGCAAGACAATATCATCCGCATATTGAAGGTCGAGAAGTCTTTCTCCAGGCAACAGATCCACACCACCATTACTTACATCCATCAGAGCTGTTTCCAGAATGTCGTCGATGGCAAAGTTAAAGAGGAATGGTGAGATTGGGCAACCCTGCCTAACCCCACTGCTCGAATGGAACAATGGAGAAAGGTAGTTGTATGGCCTCACTCTGCCTGAGGTATTTGTATATAGGGCTTTTATGATGTTAATAAACTTCTCAGGCACACCCTCCTTCAATAGACAATCCCAGAGAACAGTCCTGTCCAACGAATCGGAGGCAGCCCTGATGTCAAGAAACACTACGATTGTTGGCCTTTGATAAATATGGCGGTGTTCTAACATTTGGCGGAGGGTGAAGATATGATCAATACATCCTCGACCAGAACGAATCCCAGCCTGCTCCTCGCGAATCAATCTTTCTCGGGTTTTGAACAACCTACGAAGTATGACGGAAGCCAATAGTTTGGACGCAATCGGAAGTAGACTTATCCCCCGATAGTTGTTACAGGAACGAAGTGAACCCTTTTTAAAGATAGGGACAACTATCGACTCATTCCATGACCTCGATACACACTCTAGCTCCCAGACCTCAGTAAACAACACAGTCAGTTCCTTAGTCAGAAAGTCACCACCATCTTTAAAAAGAGCCGGAGGTAAGTCATCTGGGCCTGGTGATTTGTAGCGTCTCAAGAGTTGGAGTTCCTTGTGGCTTCCGCCTCATTTGGTGGATCAGTCGTCACCGGCCATGGAGGGCAGGACAGTCTGACCGATATTGCCCGAGCAGCAGGCCAGTTGAACTGCCTTTCGAAAAATTCTGCCCATCGTCCAAGACGTTGATGGATGTTAGTGACTGGCGTTCCGTCATCCTCGCAGATTGTTTCGCTCACACCAGACTTCTTGCCGCCAGTGGCTTGTATGAGTTGGGAGAGCTTCCGGCAGTTACCAAATGCAGCTGCTACTTCCAGCTCATTAGCACGCTTCGACCACCAGGCTTCTCGGACCTAACGCAAGCTTTGCCCGATTTCATTAAGTAGCAGTCGTCGTTTGTGGTCAGACACACGGCCACCTGGAGTAGACCGACGGGCTCCGATCAGTTGTAAGGAACCAGAAGAAACCCAGTGCTTATAAGCGGGATGTTTCGCACAGCCGCAAGCGGCTTTACTCGGCGTTTTCATGGTGTCATGCAATTGCAACCAATGCTCATCTATAATTTTCGGTGGAATGGTAGCCAGCCTAGAAAATATCTCGGTTTTATACTTAGTTGCAGCCAGAGGCTGTATACGCGTGGCCCTGTGAGGGCGTTTCGAGAGGGAGTGCGTGCCTACTCCACTTTCGGCCATACCAGGGCATTTGACATCACCCTGAAGCATATCCCGATTTTAACTTATAGCATGATAAGTCATTCGTTTGCCTCTATCGTCTCCTAATTGCCTTCTTGTGAAGATGATTAAAAAAATTATTTTGTAAATAGGTTTGTTGTTATTCACACTTTTTCCAACTTCACCTTTATTTTTGCAATAAATGTTATTGACTTTTTAATTTTTATTTAAATCTACTTATATGCTTACATGGCTCTGATCACCAATCACAAGTATAATCCTTACCTGATCAGGTGATGTAATAAAAGATCCCTAATATGATGGCTATCAATGTTTACAGATCACATTTATATACATATAGCTCAATTGTTCATGGTACAGGCAAAAATATACCAATCAGTGACAGTACCATTGACTGCTTCACTATAACGTCTTTACGTATAGGTTCATTTCGAATTCTCGAGAAAAACTAATGCTCAAAGAGTTTCGGGAGTAAGGAGAGTTTTAGCGCATAAAATTTTCAGATAAATTTAAGTGAATCTATAGAATTATGGTATACTATGATATTAGTACTGCGCTAATAATATACATGATCCTAAAATTGTATACTTGTCATGATATAACTGCCTAATCTATAAGATCTTACGTAGAAGTCATACCATCGTCTACACTAACTTATCGTATCTTAACGATCACCAATACATGATGTAGAATAAGTTTAGGCTAGAGATAGAACAATATATTTAATATGAATAAAAACTATAAGATAACATTCAACTAGGACCACGCCCGCAAGGCCGATCCTCGCCATTCGATCAACTCCGATTAATTCGACCCCTTGTTCCCGCATTATCCATCGTTAGGTATTTCTTCGCGTTAAATCTTGAATATCTATTTTCCGAGTTATCTCGTATTCAGCTTTGAGAATTGTGTGGTTATGGTCCAATGCCACCACAAATCTGCGATGAAACAATGCGAAGACGTACGAATATGTAAATAGCCGGAAGGAAAGGAAATTTATTAACTCAGTAGGGAGATTACAGCTAGTTTCTTGCAGACGTACCAAGTTTTTGCCAGAATAACACTGAGAAGACCGTTGAAACTCAATCCGCACATCCCTCCGTAGTAATTGTTAAACAGTTTATTTGAATTGTAGGCGAACTTCTCCTGTGGTAACAATCTTTTATTTCCAATAATCGTTCATAATACTAAGTTCATCTAAATTCATTCCTTTCTCTCGGTGATGTATTCCTATCGGGGCGAAACCTTACCAGTCGTCACAGTTTGATATCTTTGTGCTTCAGCAGTATTTTGACACAAAACTTTGTAACACGAACGCGTAGATTTTACTTTTAGTCGTGCTTTTTTGCAATTAAACAATTGTAGATTTCTTGATTGTGCTTAACGAGGGTATTTTCCAAATCTGTTATTAGTTTATAACTGCAGTTATCTTTAATTCGTTCCTATGTTAGCTTTCACTATAGTTAGGTGTTTTGTAATCATTTGTTCACTGTCATTTTTGCTTTATTGTGTTTAGCTGCTTTGTTCATTGTGAATCGCATACGAATATTCCACATGCAGCCAGCAAACTGGTAAGCAAATATGATGGCCGTGAGATAACTTCAATTGATTTCACTTCCTGCTGAAAAATCTTATTACAAGTAAAGCTGGACAATTAGCTAAAATGAAGACCTCTCATGACCCTGTAAAATCCATAAAAACGAAAAATGAGATAAATTGGCCTTGATGAGAAAAGAAAGATAGTTCCTCGTGTTTCAGAATACCATTTTCAGTACTATATTCTAAAACTACACACGATCCTATACGTTCAGCTTCTTTTTGAAACACGTTCAACTATGCGGTTCTTTGTTCATTCATACCATATTGTTTTCTTCTTCCAGTCACTCACGATTTCAATTTATATCTTTCTTATTACTATCAATCTACTTCCAGTTGCTTTGTTACACAATAATCTGATTTTTGTTAACTCTATGATTTCTTATCACTATATCAATGTTCTAAGATTCTTCCTCCCAAACTTTATTTATCCGAAACAAATTTTTATGACCTTATCAACCCTGTTGAAAAACTGGCTACATCATGATACTAATACTTAACTTTGTATTCTTGCTACTTCCAATGAGGCATTGGCCGCCGATCAGCATTCTCAAACCCACTCTGTCCTGGGTCTTCCTTCCCACTTCTATCCAATTTGTGTTACTTTTTCCTATGTCTGTCTTCACTTCCCGGCGTAACGTGTTCTTTGGTGTTTCCTTTTTCCCTTGACCTTGAGAATTCCATGTGAGGGCTTGTCTTGTGACGCAGTTGGGTGCTTACCTCAATGTGTTTCCTATCCACTTCCAGCGCTTCTTCCTGATTTCTTCCTCCGCTGGAATCTGGTTTATTCTCTCCCACAGTACGTTGTTGCTAATAGTGTCCGGCCAACGGATCTGAAGTATTTTGCGTAGACAACTGTTAATAAACACCTGTGTTTTCTGGATGATGGCTTTCGTAGTTCTCCAGGTTTCTGCCCCATATAGTAGAACTGTCTTGACATTTGTATTGAAAATCCTGACCTTGGTGTTAGTTGACAGTTGCTTTGAGTTCCAGATGTTCCTCAGTTGTAAATATGCTGCTCTTGCTTTCCCGATCCGCGCCTTCACATCTGCATCAGATCCACCCTGTTCATCAATGATGCTGGCCAAATATGTAAAGGTTTTTACATCTTTCAAATCTTCTCCGTCAATTGTGATTGGGTTGGTGCATGCTGTCGTATCGGAGAATCCTGCTTTTCCCTTTGTGTATATTGAGACCTATTGCTGCTGAGGCTGCTGCCACACTGTTCGTCTTCTCCTGCATTTGTTGTTGCGTTTGGGATAGAAGGACCAGATGGTCTGCGAAGTCTAGATCGTCCAACTGCATCCTAGATGTCCACTGTATCCCGTGCTTCCCTTCAGATGTTGACGTCTTCATGATCCAGTCGATCACCAGGAGAAAGAGAAAAAGTGAGGGTAAGCAACCTTGCCTAACACCGGTCTTTACTTCGAACGAGTTTTCCAACTGTCCTGCACTCACGATTTTGCAGTGTAATCCATCATTCGAACTCTGTATGATATTGACTATCTTCTGAGGCACGCCGTAGTGTCTAAGAAGTTTCCATAGTGTTGTTCTGTACACGCTATCAAATGCCTTTTGGTAGTCAATGAAGTTGATGTAGAATGATGAATTCCATTCAATTGATTG